GGACGGTGTTCAATTCAAGTCTGGGGGGAGGAGTGATGCTAACACATTTCGATCCATGAGCCTTGCATACCACATGCATTCCACACTTAGAGCCTTGCATTTCATGAAAAAAAAATCCATCCTTTGCATTAACTTGCACGATTAGATTGCATATGCATATAGGTGTAAGAATACATGCATACACTTACATAAGGTTTTTCCTCTCAAAGATTTGGTCAGATGACGATGTGGGGGACATAGAGTGAGGATTGGTCTGGAAAGGTTTTAGGAGCTAAGTTTAGATTGATCTAAAGAGTTGAATGGATTGTCGAGCGAGGTAGAAATAGCTGATCCAATCCTAGAGCGAATGAATATCACGTGGGATGATTTTGTCTCCTAAAGTCTAGGTGGAGTAGAGGTTACGAACCAAGCGCGAAACGCCTCCCTAAAACCACCCTCTGACCCCTAAGTTAGGAAGCCTATAGGAAGCAACAAGCCCTAGGAAACACGATGCATCCCGACACTCCTCTGTCATCATCTCGTTAATGAAAATCATTCGGGGACATGAGTGCGTCGAAAATGAAGGCTCGGGTCTAAGTTGTGGGACAAGAACACAAAAAAAAAAAACAAGAGAGTGAACTCGTCAAATTTCAACGTCCTAGAAGCCCGGGATTGCATGAAAAAAAAAAGAGGAAAGAAAGAAAAAAAAAGAACACAAAACACGAATAAAAAGGAAAGATATGGGGCAAGGAAAAACAGTAGAGTTATAGGCTAAGTAACTTTTGGGGATCTCATTTGGGATGTGTTTAGGAGGCATGCTCGGCAAGTAGGATTTACTCCACTTCTAGACCGCGGGAAGCAATGAAAATCCCATTGATAGCCTTTCGCTTGAATGTTGGAGAGGATACAGTATACCGAACCCGATTTCATTCGCAGCGACTTTAACCCGTACAACCAATCTACTAAAAACCCCCATTTGTTCTCCGACTGTATCTTATCACCCTTTGGATAGTTTTATAACTGCACATTTACTCGAGGACGAGCAAACCTCAAGTCTGGGGGGATTTGATCACACGGGTTTTTCACCGGTTTTATAACGTCGTGCATCACAATTCTTCTCACATTCTAGGCATCATAGGACGTTAGATGGCCATGGGTAGGTTGTTTTGCTTGTTTTTCCTTGCAGGAAGAGTCCACGATGAATCCTCACGAAGCGGGCACGGAAGAACAAGAATTCGAGATTAATGCTCGGGAAGCTCAGACAAAATGAGCGACCCGCCCATTTTATGGGCGGTCGCTCATTTTGTGAGCGGTCGCTCATTTTATGAGCGGTCGCTCATTTTATGAGCGGTCGCTTGTTTTTTCGCGTGTCAGAGGAAAATGAGCGACCCGCCCGAAAAATGAGCGACCGGAAGAAAAAGAAGCGACCCGCCTGAAAAATGAGCGACCGCCCGAAATCAAAATCGGCCCAAAA